GCCTCGCATTTGGCCTTCTTCACATAGTGCTCGCTAGTGGCAGTTGATTCGTCTGCAGCAGGAACATCTCTCAGCTGTTCAGAAGGCCCCGTTGGAGCAGCAGCACCATCATCCTGAAGGGGTTTCATGACTCTGTGTGTCATGTTCAAGCCGAAAGAATTATTCCACAGGTATACAGGCTCCCAGAAAGTGGTGGTATAATTTCATCGGCTGGTTGTTGCTTCCATTTATACCCTGTAATAGCCAAATTAGGTTCTAAAACACATTAAAACACGCTAATACATACAATGTTTCATCATGTTTCACCACTTGTCTCATCAGAGTCTCCTGCGGCTTCAAAGTGGCTCTTGACGCGCCCGTGTCGGCTGCTGGCAATGGCGCCGTGGAAGCATCAACACGCGGCACGGCCTCACCAGAATTGATCAAGATTGAATATATATAATAAGTATTAAAAGGTAGCACATGGACCTACAAGGGCATAAAAAATGAACACATGAACCATATTGATACCTCCTGACATCAAAAAACACGATAAAACACGGTTGCCCCATGTTGCCCCTATGGGTCCTCTGCAGCAGGAACATCTCTCAGCGGTTGCAAAGGCTCCGTTGGATCAGCAGCATCATCATCCTGAGGGGTTTCATGACTCTGTGTGCAAGCCGAAAGAATTATTCCACTGGTATACAGGGTCCCAGAAAGTGCTGGTATAATTTCATCGGCTGGTCGTTGCTTTCTTTTATATATATACCTTGTAAAAGCAAAATCATTCTTGATTCTTGACCCAACTTTCGCAAACTGTTTGAAACAATCTCCTGCCGCGGCTTGTTTGCCATTGTGTTGGAGAGCCGAACACTGACAATCCACTTCTGAGTAGTGCGATCGTAGATGCAACAATGATGGGAAGCTCTCCTCGTACCCGTGGCTGTAAATCCGTCATTGTCCTTCAGTCTGCAAAAACCAGGCAATGGGCTGGCACAACTCCAAGACATGATCCGTGTCCTGAGAGATTAAAATATAAAAACCAATTGCTTCATATTGCTTCTACATCTGATTCTGAAATCTTCTGATCTCAAGGATCAATTGTCAAATGATTCGCAATTTTTTCCAAGGATCACATACAGAAACCCAACGTCCATATTTATTGTTCCACACGGGCGCCTGCATTTTGCCACTACCTCAGTTGGCACCATGTGTATCCCTAGGTTGAGCTTTCTTTCCAGCAGTCACGAGCAATCTCCTGCACGCTCCTGCAAAACAGACTCTGACCACAAAGATCTACAAAGGTTCATATTTGGTTTAGTTCTTTTCTTGGTGCGCTTTTGTTATCGCTCCCAAAAGCTTCAAAAACCTTCAAGAAGTCTTGCACTTGTCCTCTGTATCCTTCAGATTCCCCCACTATTCATTTGCATCCCTGCCTCCCTCCTCTCATGATCACATATGAGTCCGAGCTACAGTGGCTGACATGACAGTCATCCGGCGGCGGTTTTGCAGGAGGTGTCACCATTGTCGCACGAAAAGCACACTATCACAGATACTGCTTCACTTGAGCAGCAAGTTACAACAAAATGTACAAAAGTCATCAAATCCAAAGCACTTCCTCCTCAGCGTCCAGTAATCTCTATATACATCTATATACAATACATTGCCAAGCCTCTATGTGGTAATTATTCTGACACACCATCAGGTACCACCCCCCCCATACCTAGGCAAGAAAATTATTCCTGGAAAATTATTCCAGAAAAATTATTCCACCAACTGACGGTACCCCCTGGAATAATTACCTAGAGTACGGGGTATGTCCGAACTTTCTCAGGACCATCCTGTCAGGACGTCCAGGCTGGGACC